TGATTCCAAACCCAATTAAAGTCAACAGAAGTTTGTGTGTCTTCAGTAAAGGTACACACTTAATTATATCAAAACGGGGCGGTATTGTTGATCTAAAATTATTTGTTTTGTCCTCTTGTAATTGTACACTCAAATATAGAAACAAACAGTTTTTGAATTCTACAATGTAAGACTATGGTGCAGTCAATATCAGAAACATGTAGATAACGTCTACAACGATAAAAATAATTTATAATTAAATATTAAAGAACGAAATCACAATGTATGACAAAATTCACATACGTTAGGAACAACTTTTACCTACCACAGTAATTATTAGGTTGTTGACTATTTATTTTTTAATTTCGTAACAGTTATTAGGTAGGTACTTATTACCTATTTGAGGCCAGTATATAGAAACGTTCAAATCATGTCAATTCATTAACAACAAAACTATTCACTCAAGACGGTATAATATAATGCACATATGCACGGTAAATGTGAAAAGCTATATTATTATGCACACAGAGCTGAACATTTTAACCGATACCAATCATTTATCCGCAATATATAGGTATCAATGGGGAAAAAAAAATTGGTATTAAAATATTGGTGAGTGGAGTGCTGCTGGAACCGTGGAAAAAAGGAAATGATTTATTAATGTGTGCGCGAATGTGAAACTGAAAACAAAACAAAAAAGTAAAAAGGCTCACATAGGCAGGCACATATATATAAATGAATAATGATCGATCTTTTGAAATTCGCAAAAATGTTTTCACATACACCCCCTCCCGTTCCCGCAGCGGCCCTCGGATCCGGATGGGGTTACACGCCGCCGCTGCAGCAGTACACGAGACAAATCTGAAGCCAATTCAGTATAATACGTAAAGTTTTCCTATTGATTTTTCCCCGCATTTCCATATCGCATTATGTGAAACAAGAAATACCTCGTCAACACACTATATACGACTATACTGGCTGCGCCGTGTATTCGCGCACATTATTTCCGATTCAAAAACAGTTGCGTTATATTTATGTAAATCCAAAACGATTGCTACAAATAATAATTGTACACCGGTACCGAGGATGATGGGCAAACAAAAATAATAATAAGTACTCGAGAAAACGTTTTCAGAGTACAAAATAATATGCACTATTATGTTCCATAGATATCAAATATCACACGTATACGAAACCACACGCACTCTACATAGTATTAAGAGGGGAGGGTGGTAACCACGTCAAATGTATACGAAACAGATACGAATATGATATAATATTATAGAGAGAAATTAATACTTAAAACCACCGATTTTAAAACGTTTAGGGACTAATCGCTAAACCACAAGTCTCGTCGTAAACCACGCGACGCATCTGTATCGTATCACCCATATTATAGTCATACTGTAATGCGCTCGACTGAGAGATAAAAGTACAAAACTCTCACGGGAACACGATAGTATGATAATAATAATTATTACAATAATATTCTGAACTGAAAAATAAAAACAACATGTTTTCGGCGAACATGTCGCCGGACGCAAAACCATTTTTTGTTATTTTTTCCGGCGCGACACATACATTAAGCCGGGTCCGACCGGGTGTAGAATAATAATAATAATAACATTATAATGTGTCGTGGTATGCACATGAGATAGTGCGTTTTAAACCGAAGCGTCAAATTAATGTTCACTGATAACACACAATTTATAACACTGCACACACGCACAGAATGCGTATAGCGGATATTTCGTTCAAACGAAACGTGCCGCAAACAAGTTAAAGTGAAAAAAAAAACCAAAAATAGGTACTGTGTGTTATTACTTATTACATTATCTAAAATATTTTTAGGGCGTTTTCTTCAAAATACACACACACAATATTCGAATACAAAATACGTAACTCGCTACAGTCATTATGATAATATAATATTATATAGTATATTATAATAATAATATTATAGTGCACATTTTAAGAGTTTAACGTTAAAGCGGTTTTTGTACATTAAAAATGGTTTTTTCGGGTTTTTTTTCGTTAAGCACTTAAGTACCCCGAATTACTAATAATAACGATTATTCCGCGCATAAATTAACTCGCTAATGATCCAAAAATATGAATTGGACTTAAGGAGAGAAATTTTAAGCACAAGCGGCAATTAACTCTGGGTGACGGAAGGGCTGCGGCCGGTGGGGTGTATTTGTAAAATACAGAATAAAATATAAATACAAATTTATGTTCGACAGTGGGTGGTAAAATATTACGTTACGGTGGGTTATTTCCATAATGAACGTAAGTGAACTTACAGTTTCCCGCATGTGTTGTCACCGACCTGTACAAACATGGCTATTTTCCCTAGCGGCCATTATCAAAAATAAGGATATCAAAATTAGAGCGAACTTAGGGCAAACTAAGGGCACGAATATTATCCGGGGCCTGCGTGCAGGATTTGTATAACATTTTAATTTTGAGATGAGTTTTATGAGCGTTTTAAAATCGTAAATTTTTGGTACATTTCACACACGCGGAGGGGTATGAAGTCCTCTATTCAAACAAGATTAACTATCTCGATAACGTTATCTTATCTACGCACATTTGTACGCATATTAATCATATGACGTTTTGTAACAGGGCTCAGACAATTAATCGTGTACCCACAATCGCGTATTAGCGCGTACTATAGAGTTTGAACCGGACGACGCACAATAAACACACACAACTGTTGACGAGGAAAAAAACGTGTTTAATTCGGTTCTATTTCGACAGATTTGAGAGTATAATCGATTATGCAACGAACTATAAATTTTAATGTTATGTGTGCAGAATCGGTCACTACTAATATTATTATGAATTCATAAAATCCTGTACGCTCATATTATTAAAATATTATGGTATTATCACAGGTAGGTACAGCCGTACAGGTACTAATATCATATCAATGAGCATGCTTGATAACGCTGGCGAGCCGAATGCCATTATAATAATAATATAAAACATTGGAAATCCGACGACGAAAATCTGAGGCCTTTTGTAGGGGTTTTGTGTACAAATAATATTATATACCGAGAATGCATTTCGTTTGCATAGCAAAACGAGTTTCCACCGAGAAAGTGGGAAAATTATCGCAATCATTATGGGACGACGGCACGCGATAATAATATTATTGCGGCCGACAACTCATGTGAACATCCTCTTTTCGATCTATTATAATATTTTACAATTGCACATTGTTGCGTTATCGTCTGTGCGCAGCAGATAATAAAGCAAATAATAGTAACAATACAGTTTACAAAATAAAAAAAGAGACTGAAACACGATCGGCCGTCGTTGGCAATAGCGCGTGTCCGACAACCACGGCGTATGAATCACGCACGCCAAGTTTTTGCGACAGTTTTTCGATTTCATTCCCCCCCCCCCAAAAAAAAAATAATGCGGCGATAAGGTGGGTGCCAAGTGACTACTATATTATGTTGCGCTCGTTTGTAGCCCATCATCGCCATGATAATAATTAAAAATATTACAACTCACTCCAGAACTCCCGAAATGAATCGTAAGCCGAATAAAAACAAGATTATTGCTACAACGTACAGATTTTTAAGACCGTCGAGGGGATTGAAAAAATGCAACTACCGTGAACCGGGATCGAAATGGACCGGGTAGATATATTTATTGTTTTCATCGTGTTTCGAAAGAAATAAAAAATGGGTGCAAGACGAATGAGAATAGAAGAAATAATTAGAAGTTTATAACGAAAACAATTCCACTATAATGGTCGTAAGAGGCGTAGCGACATTTTTCCAGTAATTGTTTTTTACCGTAATACGCTCAGTGCCAACATCTAGGCTTTGATTACACTTATTATCTACATGAAACAGCACAAACTACGCGTCCGACACTTTACATCGATTATAACATTAAAAATCAAACTCAAAACAAAAATCTAGGTGAGAAACATAATTAAGTTTCCTTATATAGATGTCCAGTGAGTTAAAAACATGTTTTTGTGCAGCAGGCAATGGTAGGTACCTCATTGCATTTGAACAGAACCGATCATGATTAAACCTTAAAAAAAATCCCAGTGCAAGACAAGAGTACCTACCTATTATTTGTACACATTAACAATGTATAAAAGTGATAAGACTAATGACATAATGATAAATAGTAATAATGCGATTACCTACTGTTTAAATAAAAAAAATGTTTGGTTTAAAATACTCATACTTGGTTCTAAATTAAAATTCAAAAAAAACCTTTTCAAAGGGCCTTTGATAAAATTCTTACCTATACTTCTTATAATAAGTAAATTCACTCTAATATTAAAAATAACAGTGATACAGATTCTAAACGTATATTACTTAACGTAAAATGTTCTATATATTGTACTTTAGTAAGTGGGAAACCATTCTGGAAACAACACATGCGGGTATAACGTCCTGTTAAGTTTTAATAATTAACTAAATAATTTAGCTTTGTTTGTGATTAGTTCAATAAACAGTGTTAGGAATGGGATTGGATATTATCATGAAAATATAAGAACTTTTGGGCGAACGGAGCAAGGAACTTATTAAAACAAAAACGGCCCCAATAGTAACTGTCATACACTGGGCCCCGTTAAACCTAAGACCGTCACCAGGGACAACATTAAGTCAGAGTCGCATAGGTTAGCAAAATTATTGGACACTTATTGCTGGTCGAGTGGTTGACACATGTTTTGAAATTAATCAATAACAATTAATCACTCAGTTATAACTTATTATCAATTAAATACAATATCAGTTGTATTATTATTTATGACACCAATGATAATTGGCTAAATAGGCCGCTCAACATTTGTTGGTTTCGAGACCCGACATTGTCTCCAATAATTCCCGACCCTGGCCGGCCTCAAAAACGCATGCGCAGGAGCATAAATTTAATTACCTGGGCACTAAATTAAGTATAATATGGTTAATAATAATATAATGTTAACACGGTGACGCGCGCGCGATACCAGTGCGGTTACGCGGGGTGCGGTCGGTGGTTACCTCGGTGGAACACGTTGAAATTCCATGCGGCGGCAGCCGCGGCGTGCGGGTATACCAGGCTCAGGTCGCCGGGCACCGACACCATGTTGCGGTTAGCGCCGGTGTCCACGGCGGGCGCGGCGGCGGCGGTGGCGGTGTTGCCCTGGTGGTAGGCCCGGAACATGCTCATGGCTGACGACGAGCGGACGGTCGAGACAGGAAGAGCGGAAGCCGTTTTCTCGTCAGCGGGCGGTCGGCAGGACGCGAAATTCAGAACGCTCAACTAATAACACTATACTACGCGACACATGTAGTAAGACCGAAAAAAAACAAAGTTGCGAATAAGAGATATCGAGAAAAAAACCGATATAATCGTTTTTTAAAAAAAAAACACGAAACGGCGCGCGAAACCGTTAATAACCGTATTGTTGTTAAAGGTTGTATGATTGTTGTCGTTATCAATTACGCGTACGAGTCACGTACGTAGTATACAAATTTTTTTTAATTTAATATTTGAGGTTAAAACGTGTATCGCGCGATATGCCCGGCGGCACTGGGATCGTGAAAATCGATGATCGGGAAAGACGCGGGCGAGTCGTAGATTTTTCCCGAACGTTGTCGACACTCACGACGCTCACGCACGCACACACACACACACACAAGAGCGCGCGCCGGACAGTCGTCGGTACGGAATACGAAATTAATAATATTATATTAATAATAATAATAATAATACGACGAAAATCGACGTCGGCCTACGAGCTGACTGACTGACGACGTGCAGCGGTGCAATGCGTGTGTGTAAAATACTAAAATGCGTGTGCTTGCGGTGCCGCCGACTGCTGCCGGTGCGCCGATGGTGATTATAAAAAAACCGCCGCCTCCCCACCAAGTCGACGGCGACGACGACGATGACTAGACGTGACGTAGTATTATCGGTCCCACCGCGAGCCGCCGCCGCCGACGGATAATAATAATTACTGTTGCGATGATAACGCTCGAGCGTGTATTCGGCCGCGTGTGTGTCTGTACAATAATAATAATAATAATAATAATAATAATAATATTATATATTATAATATTATTGTGTGTGCCCGAGCCGAACACTGGTGTGCAAGCCGAGTGGTGCGCACTTGTTTTTACTTTTTGTTATTATTTTATTGTTTTTTTCTCGATAATATGCGCGCGCGTAGGTACATATTGCAGCTGGGTGGTATATGACTACGAAAACGGTCGTGTGTGCACAGAACTATGACAAACACACATCGCTCGACTAATATTTAGTTTTCGACATTAATATGTATTCGGCTGCCGCACTATTCAGTGAGCTTGGTTCGGCGGTTCCGTAATGAATACGACCCAATAGAGAGAGAGAGAAAGAGAGAGACAGACAGACAGAAAGAGACAGCAATTGAGAGAGAGAGAGTGATTGATGGTCACCCATCCGCGTCGACGGTGACAATAATAATTATTAACGACCTCATACGCACAGGCGGCGCTGAATCGAAACGAGATACACCTACACCGTTTTGACGCAATCAAACATGTCAAAGCATGCGAGGTATTTACCTCGAAAAACGCCAAAAGCCTATAATAATAGTGATGTTATACAAAGTGTTTGATTTTCAAATCAAAATCAAGGGGTGGATATTCAGTTCAAATTGCATTAGTGGTTGTATTTATATATTGTATTTAAATTTTACGATATCAATTTACAAGATGAAGTCAATTAAATATATCAGTTATGTTATTTAGGTACATTTAGGCATACGGTTTTTCAATTTCTCGACAATTTGATTCGATTAAGTTTCTTTAAATTTAAAAACTGTTTGTTTCAGGCTTCAGTTCATCATCAAACATCATCGTCTTTCTCTAACATCGACTATCGGTCCAGACACGGGCCGGCGTCTATAGGCGCCGTGCTGTTTCACCGTTTGAAGCTGTCAGGGTATCCGTATTTTAAAACTTCTTACTCTAGAACAGCTTTCTCAGTTTCTAAAATCGCATAAATTAAATTCTAGATATTTGTTGGCCTTGAAACCAATTGAGCCAGTTTAGGGGAAGTTAAAAGTTAGAATTAAAAATATAATAACAAAATTGTGCTCAAGCCACTCTGTGACTTCATGACATTCAGATCCGGTTTATGGGCATTTTCTCGGTTAATATGTTAACACCCAACCTTTAGACCGAATCTTATATATATGTGCTCGAGATATCAGGACATTCCATATAAAGCCTACTACGTGGACTGTCAAATATAAGAAACGTCGGAAAAACTACAACTGTGGAAACGAAACAATAATGATATTAAATTATTTCAACAATAAAGCGTAATTCGTATGTGCGTTGCAGACAATTCTTGTACACTGAACAAGTGTTGTTGTTGTTGTTGTTGTTATTGTTGCACTCATGAGCATAATATACGATATTATTATATTCGTAACTGCCTGCAGTTAAAACATTTGATTTTTGTCGGGACGACGCCGTGAAACTAAATCGGCCGGATTAAACGACCACGCCGGCGACGACGTTTGCAGTAAAAATAAGTAATAACTACTTTTTTTCTTTAAACGCAAATATTTTTTTTTTAATAATTAACAATACATAACATGCAGTTGACGGGTACAGTGTAAATACAGAATGAATACGTCATTGTACATAATTATATCATGGACCATAAAACACTGCAGCAGTGTTATGAAAGACGAGGCCATAAACTAGTCACAGATTACAATATTATATATTTATATTATATGTAATAAAATAGATCACTAACTACTCATGATAACGGGTAGTAAGTCGAAATGCGTCAGTTTTGCACTTCACGCATATTAATTAAGAGTTATTTTCACATGTTTGGCAGAGTATAGGCAAATATTTAAAGTTTTGTGGAAACTGCAGAATTCATATCAACTCTATAGAAGAAAGGAAGATCTACAATAAATATTCACAAAAAAAATATACATTAAAAAGTGCTATTCCAATGTTTGTAAATAATTTTGAAACTATTATTGTAACATTAAGTTTAAATTAATATTTATTATACATGATTATTATCCATTTTCATAAAGAAACTTAAATAATTGTTAGATAAAGATATATATTACATTTTATGCTATGGTTGTTTTGAATAGTTTTTACGTGTTTAATTAAATTTACAAATAACTTACGAGTAACAAATGTGTATTTAAATATTATAGTATGTACCTATAGTTGCCTTGGTAATTAATATTACCTACGATGTAAAATGATGTGAAATGTAGGTACAATTAAATAACTAAATTTAACATCCCATCGATAATGTATTTTAACAAATAATACGATTGAGTAAAATCAATAATCATTTATCATGAAAAAAAAATTAATGTATTTTCTTTAAAAAACGAATAAAATTCGCAACAACCACCATTGAGTTTAATTATTGGCTAAATAATGATGCGCAATTATGTAAACATTGACAATATTTTGTGTTGTATAACAACTACAGATTTCTATGTGTGATTAACGGTGGAAGCACCAGGTGTGGTTCTTATCAGTTATCACTTCACATTTGCATACGTTTGTACATAAAAATTAACCTGCATTCCCACAGAGATGGCCGCAAACGACGGCAAACAATCACGATTTTTTAATTACTTAATATCAATGCAATACGAATGCACCTATATAACGTAATATAATATGTATAATGTGTTGTAGGGAATTTACACTATTCTTGTGAAAGCAATTTAAATATCTTTAAATTCTTCACCAAGTATGATCAGTCATGCATTTGTATCGAACATTTAAACGATGGGTATGCCATTCAGTTTTTTTATAAAATGTCTGCAGTATGAAACTTCTCTACTAATAAGCATTTCACAATAAATATAGAGTTTTTTGACTCGAAATGTCAGCGCAAACAAGCATAATATGTAGTACAGAAGATCCAACATTATTAAAATATATTCAAAATAAATAATAATAATACAAATTATAAATTATATTGAAGGTAAGTATAATATGACATGCTATGACCAAATTGTATTGAAAAAAATTTGAACAGTAGTATAAAAATAAAATTCTTAGGCACAGAAATTGCTACAAACAATTAGAGAAGAAATTATGATTTAGTTTATTCGGCAGCAAATAATATATTTGTGTTAATTAAATATAAATACAGAAAAATGAATTATACGATAAAATGACCTAATTATTTTTTTTTTTTTGCCAATTTAATATATTATTCTGACCAGTATTTCAGTTTTGTGTTGGTCGGCTAATAAGACGTAAATTATACCTACCTACATTGATAATAATTATTAGGTAATTACTTTATTAAACCGTTTTTATGCATACGTCGTTATTTGTATTACAAACAAACAAAATAATTCAGACAATGTATATAATATATATATGTAAATGTATAAATTGCATTAAAAGTCTTAAAATGTAGAGAATCAAGGTAAGAACAAGTATAGTAGGTTAGCTAATGGCTTTAGATAGTTTCTTAGGCGGCTTTTCTAAACTTGGTATAAAGTTAACTTTCAAAACTTAACAGTTAAATGGTTAGATCTGCAGCGAACGATTGTCGGTATCAGACTGAATACGTTCTAAAAGGAATAAGTAACTATATTCGAGTATGAGTTAGTTTACGATGAAAAAAAGCTGTATTAGTGCTTAAAACGCGCGGTATAACTCGAAATATAATATGCATCTGAGTGACACCAAATTAAACGGTAGAAGTATAGCGTAAAACAATTAACGAAAATGTAATTTTAATAATGTAAATTATGTGAGACATCTCTTAATAAACAGCAACAGAAAGGTCGGTACATACTAATGATGTTTCCATCAAACAAAACTGTTTTTTATTATTACATTATAATCATATAATATCACAAATAATTAAAAGACATTGCCAACATATAACACCAACTAAACAACGGTGGAAAATTACACAGATTAAAAATTTACTATAGTATAGGCTTTATATACTAAAATATGTTTATTTTGTATAATATACTACAGCGAAATACCTAGTATTTTATAATATAATATGATGATGATATAATATTGAACAATATAACTTAAACTTATAGTAAATGTAAACAAAACTTTAAAACCCACGACCACACCACGAAAATATAGTAAGAATTTGAAAAGAAAATTATTACCATAGTAAGTTGACTAAACATTTTTACAGGGCGAAAGTCATTTTGGACATGAATAATTCTTTCGCCACAAAAAAAGTTTCCTTAATTCGAAATATGACGTGGACTTTATTGACTATATTGTCAGGACCAAAGTAGATTTTTATCATGTTTGAAATAACTGTCACAGTACGTGTCTAGCATTCACATGCTGTACAATATACAAGACATATATAAAAGCGTGCTCTATAATATGTGTTTACTGAGCTTCAGACTTTAATATTTTTATATTTTATATAGAACAATATAATATTTTCAATGGAGAAATTTCAAAACACGTCTATGGGTTTTTAACTTTTTTTTTATTTGATCACCGACAGGAGAATAAAAACCCTTTTCATATAGTTTAATTTCATTACTGACCAGCGAATGGACATTGATCAATGATCATACCAAATAATATTTCACATAAATATAATATAATAATATATTAATACGTGCATGAGAATATAGGTTAAGTTATAGGAGCATAATACATTAATATTATAATCGTGTTGTATATGTATACAAAAAATAAAATCGATACGACGCATTCTATTTAACTATAACCGATGACTGTGCAATAATTAAATATCGTAACCATCATATGCATGCTATATATAGTACTGTTTTAATAATATAGGAACTATAT